GGCAGCTTGTAACTGTCTATGACTCAGTCTCAGTTTCCTGCCTCAGCCTTCTGAATGCTGGGGTTATAGGTAAACTACCACACCCTGTTCTTATTCTGTCATTTGTGAGAACTAATAGACTGTCGACTAGTATTTCAGAACCCTGGCCAAGAAAATATGAATCTTGGTAACCAAGGTAATCCTAGTTCAGCAATAGTTGAAAACCACCTAATTAAAACATGCTCTGCCAGCCGGTCCTGGTTCTTCTTTCTGTTACCAGTTGTCAGTGCTTGCTGCCACAGTCCTCTCCCCATCCATGCTCCCCAGCTTCTAGGTCACTCCTGCCTCAGAGAGTGGTGTCCTGAGCACTGGAGGGGGCTGGGCAGAGCTACCTTACTGTTACGTCTGTCCTCTCTGCATGCACTTCCTGTTGGTGATCTGGAAGGGCTGAAGGGAAGCCTGCTTGCCACCAAGGTTGCAAATCATCATGAATACTGTGTTTGTTTGCTCTGTGGCAGCTAGTTTTACACTGGGAAACAGACGCACGAGTGTAGATGCTCACTCTAGATCACATGGCTAACTAGCTACCAGTGGACTATTGATCTAGGCAGCGCCTATGCGCTGAACCACCATGGTGACCTAGGTAGAGTGGAGCAGGGGCTGGAGGTTTCGCCTTCGTGGGACCGGCTTTGAATTTAGAGGGTTTCCTCAGTCTTGTACTTATGCTGGGATGGTTGTTACTAGTTACTAGTTTTCTTAAATTCTTTCCTTTAACATTTATCTTTAAACCCATTTAAAAAGCGTTTTGTTTTTCTTCTTTCCATAGGTGGTGATTGGACTCTAGACCATGTGCCTAGGTAGTTTTTCCTTTCTCCGCAGCTCTACTCCCCCAGCAACGCTCACCACACCCTTGTTTTGAGAACCTCACTAAGGTATGATGTCTAGGTTGGCCTGAGGTTGCCTTGCAGAGCTGAGTTTGGCTATCAGACAACTTTTATTTTTTGTTGGGTTTCATTTGGATGGTAGAATACAACAAAACTCCTTATTTTTAAATGTACAATGACATTAAGTAATTTGAAATTATGTAGCCATCACCACCATTCATCACCCTGCTATGTTCCATTGAACAATTCTCTTGTCTCTGTCCCTATACTCTTGGCAACCATCATTCTACTCTGTCTACAGATTTGCCTGCTTTAGAAATGTCATGTAAATGGAATCATTCAATATTTGTCTTACTGTATTATTACTAATGGAATGTCTTCAACGTTTGTTATATTGGAGTATCTCTGAATTTCTTTGTGATATGAATAAAATACAAGACTTTATCTATGCCAGGCAAACATTCTAGCACCTAGTTACGCCCCTAACCTCCATCCTTTTTCAGGCTGAATAACATTCCATTTTTATATAATTTACATTTTGTTTGTTATCTGTTTATTCATTGCTAGATACTTGGGTTGCCCTGCCTTTGGGTATTGTAAATGTGACTGCTATGAACAAGCATGTAAATATTTTGAGGTCTTGCAGGGGTTGTGGGGAGGAGAGAAGGTTAGTTTATTTTGAAGCAGGGTCTTGCTATGTAGCTCAAGCTAGCCTTGATTATGACTTTCTTGCTTCAGCTTTCTGAATACTGAGATTAAAGGTCTGGATCTCTGGGTCATTTGGTGTTTTTGTTTGTTTGTTTTGTTTTGTTTTTAAGGAATTTTCCATAGTGCATTTGGTTCTCTCTCTCTCTTTCTTTCTCTCTCTCTCTCTCTTTCTTCCTTTCTTTCTTCCTTCCTTCCTTCCTTCCTTCCTTCCTTCCTTCCTTCCTTCCTTCCTTCCTTCCTTCCTTCCTTC